AATAAAACCTTAGGGCAATCGGACCGTTGGCTTTGGACACTACAGGTGCCGCCACAGTCGCCCCATTGGCGTAATGCAACCGATTGCCGCAATACCGGTCACGGGTTGGTAGGTTACCATCCCGGGAACCGCCCTCAATAACTAGGTAATCGTTAGCGCACGCGCTGTCGCCAACTAATGCTTTCACTGTGTCCGGCGCTGTATATGCTATGCCAATAAAGTTGTTGTGATCTGCGCTGTAGCTGACACGGCACGTGTGCGCACCACGTTGTACGCATATCAAATAGTCTAGGTTGTTTAAATACGCGTGTTCGTTGTTAAAACTTTGGATTTGTCCCCGTGGCGAGGTGAAATACTAAAAATATTTTACACTTAATTATTATGATTATATTAATTAATTGTAAATGTACCTGGAGACAATTTTCAGGTGCCACTGATGGCATCGGATAAGGATACATGTCCATTTCGTATCGGCAATTGATCTGGGTGGCGGTCACATGCCACCGGTAATCACCATCGTTGTTTGTGTCAAACAATATGCTAACTGAGCGCTCCATTGTCATCATATGGCCACGTTGAAGTTGTATGTATACTACAGTATGTTATTACCAAGTATTATTTATCACGTAAATTATAACAATTAGCCATTTTTAGAATAACCCATTCTTATTAAATAACTTGATAATATATTTTTAAAAATATAATAAATTAAACTAATAATAAACTTACAATGCTGATTGTCATTACGGCCACAAAGAGTGGGAACACCAATTGGTGTGCCGGCTGATGTGGTCACCCTAAATTTATCGCCTAAACAATTGCCATTTGTAGGTTGATCCAGGTCAAAGTTTGTAAAGTCAAGTCTTACTTGACACACATCCGAGTCGTATATTTTTAAATTAAGTGCACATATTGTAGAAATGTTGTCCAGACCAGGGTAATTCGGGTTGTGAAACTCGGTCACCTGGTCCATTGACTCGATAAGGCAACCACTGTACATATCTAATAAAATAAATGAGTTAGGTTAAAATCAATTTGTTATTTTTATACATTATAATAATTTTAATATATTGTATTTTTGGTTAATATTTTATTTTTAAATAACAAAAATACTTATAATAATTTTATACTACCATGACTAAGATTACTGGAAACGCTTGATTTAGTTGTATTAACTGTTTTTAACTGAGTTGGTAATTGTTTGCAATTAATGACTGCTAAATTGATGAATAATAAGCATGTAGAAAATAATTGCAAATACATTTTCACTTTTTTAAATAATATAATTAATATAAATATGATTACTGCCATATATTTTTAGACAAACACCGTGTATTTATATATTTTAAAAAATTAATTGCTTATTATATTTGCAAGCAATTTAATCTTTTTAATAACACCTAAATTAATTAAAATGACATTTTTATTCATTATTTGTTATCAATTTCACATCAAATAGCAGTGTAATATATGCCATAAATTTAGATATGATTAACTAATTTTGTAATATAAATATAATTATAAATTATTTTCAATAATTGTTTTTAATAATTATATATTTGTAAAAATGTAAGAAATACAAATCTTAATACAATGTATTATTATAACATATTTCAAATAAAATAATATAACTTTTAACTTATTTAATATTTAATAAATAATTATTATATAATAAGCACTACAATAAATATTTAATACACCATGTTGTAAATAAAAGTGAGCTAAAGTTTTATTATGTTGAAATGCAAAATAATTGATAACTATAACTATAATGAATTATTGTTTTATATTCCTTTGTTTTTTATACATTTATTATTTAATGAAATAAACCTTATAATAAAAACATTAAAATATAATTCTAGTTATGATATAATAAAAGTTATATAATTATATTGTAATTATGTTGCAAACGTAGTAATATCTATTAAATGTTATTAAACAAAAAATATGGTACTTTACAAATTAATTTATTTTATTTGAGTTAGTAAGTTAAAGTTAAACTAAAAATCTATTAGTTTATTAATTGTATAAAACATTACATACATGTATTTTAATATTTGTTATTTATTTCTATTGCAGTAAACAAAGTTATAGATATAAAAGTACAAGCAAAATTAATAAATATTATATTCATTAAATTATTGTTAACTCATCATGCTGTCTAAAATAAATCTAACTTGCAAGTAATACAAAATGATTATAAAAATAACAGTAAATAACATTTACATGGCAAGCAATCTTAATGGTTAAATATAAAGTTTATATTTATTTAAGTTATCAGTTTAAAAAGTAATTACTTTTATCATTTTAGATAATATTTTTTAAAAGTATTGCAAATCATACAACTTTTGCAATAATATTTTTTTACATTTATATAATTAATAGTCGCAAAAACATGTCTCAAACCAATACACAGGATATACAGAAAGTGTTGGACTATTGGTTTGGACGCGAGGGCACAGATGACTACATAACCCTTCGGTCTTTTTGGT